TCTCCTCATCGTCTTCATCCGAGTCCCGCTCCATGTACGAGGTCTGGGCCACAGCCGAGCGTCCACTACGACGCCGTTCGGAGTCGGGGATCCGGACCGGGGGCGAGGATTTGATGGCCCGCGAGGGCTTCGCGACGCGCTTGGTGGCACCGCTCGACTTGGGCTTGGAAGCCGAGGCGCTCTTTCTCGACGACGACGGAGCAGCACCCGAGGAGGCGGCCTTGCTGTTGGACGTTGACCGAGACGGGCCCGATGGCCGGGACGCGGACGAGGTCTTGGCTCGCTTGGCGGCGTTTTGTGCGGCGTCGTGCTGCAGGTGGTAGTCGTCTCCCGACTTGCGCTTCTAAGATGGGTTAGTATTGGATTTCCTTTGCAAAATTCACGGGGACGAAAGGGGAACCCACCTTCTTCCGCTCGGCTGCCTTGAGGAGGTCGTCCAATCGGTCCTCAACGCCTTCGGGAATGTACTGCTTGCGAGCAATCTCCAGCGCCACATCGTGCGATGGCAGTGGCGAGTAGAGGCCCTGGGGCACACCGACCTTGTCCGCATAGGATTCGAAGATCCAGCCCCTGCGCTGCTGGAACTTGCGGATGGTCGCCTGTGTAAGATCCGAAAGAACGTACAGGTTCTCGCTGTTCTCCACGTTGATGCCATCAAGCGTCTGTTTGACGCGCTCGGCATATTTTGTGATCAGGCCGAGGCTCGATTCTGTCGCGACGTTGTTCAGGAAGAAAATGATGTAGCGCGCATGGTCAACAAGATCGTCGGCCTCGGCGCTGTAGTCGGGATGATGGGCGAGCAACGAGATGAGGCGCGCAATGACGCCCTCAAGGACGTTCTGCTTGGCCTCCTGGAAGTAGCGGGTCCGCGAGCGGATCCACGTCTCGATCTGGTTCCGGAACTCGGTGACAGGTTCAAAGGCGGCCAGGAACACAATGGTGTAGAACCGGGGGCGCAGCTTGCCAAGCACCAAGTATTTTTGCAGCTTCTCGATGAAACCGCGACGCACCTGGGGCTGCTGGTCTTGTGTGACGAGTGCCAGTGTGTTGAAGTCGGAGGGCGAGAGGATCTCGTCGAATTGCCGGCTGGCGCAGATCTTGAGGATGGCCTGTGCCGCAGCGAGCCGGAGCCGCGAGCAGTGGTGTTTGGGCGTGTCTTTGCTCTTGGTGACCTCGCCGTCCTGGACAATGAACTTGACCAGGAAGCGGATAATGTTCTTGCCGTCCTTCTTGGCCTCGTCAATGTCCTTTGTGCCAAGGAGCTGTTGCACCAGGAACTTGAGGCATTGCACCTTGGCCTTGCCTTCGTCGTCGAGGTCCGCATCGTCAACCCAGTCCGGGTCGCTGGCTGAAGACGGGCTGCGGACGGCGCGGAGGATGTCCATAGCTTGCTTCCGCAGATCGTCTTCAGCATCGGCAATCACGCTTGGCACGAACCGGGCCAGCTGGCTGACCGTGACGAGCTTGTTAAGGAACCGCGGTGACTCGAACGTAAAGTCCTTGGTGACCTTTCGGGCCAGCTCAGTTGCGCTCACCATGCTCTTCTCGTCCTTGGTGGACAACAAGATGCTGACTGCATATTTGGCAGCCTTTTCCGGTCGTCCGAAGACAGCGAAGCTGATCCAGGCCTGCACAAATTTGCGGTCGCGGGGGACCTCCTGCGGGTACTTGGCGGCATAAGACGAGCACGCTTTGAGTGAATCAATAACAATAGGGTCGTTTTCGCGTGTCTCCGTGGGCGCGTGCGTCGCCAGCTCCTTGCACAGCTCGCCAATGGTGGTCTTGAACAGACCCGGGTTCCGCTGCGACACCTCCTTGAGCATCTCATTGGCGGTCGCGGCCATGTCCTCGTGGCCGGCCTTGGAGTACTCCATGATGGTGGTCAGGTGGCTGCGGTTGAACATGATGCAGCCGGAACGATACAGCAGAGGAAGCAGCGTGTCCAGAATGGTGCTCGAATTGGTGCCCTGCACCTTCTTCACAAGCTCCTTCATGGCGCGGTACATGGTCGTAAAATCGTGCTCAGGACCAATGACAAAGCGCACAAGCTGGTAGCTGCGGCGGTCGTTGAGCTTGGCGAACCGCTGCAGATCAGCGCGAACCTTGGCGGCGTCGGGGAAGAACTGCGATAGGTACTGGATACTCTTTTCCAAGCTGGGCGCGGCTTTCTTGCCATCCTCGCCGACACCACCGTTGTAGGCCTCACACTGCTTGAGGAAACCTTCCATGATGCTCGAGAACTGAGGCTGCCGGCTCTGGAGAGAGAAGAAGGCACGCTTGGAGCTCACATCCAAAGAGCGTACTAGGAGCAGGATGCGCTCGGCGCGGACGGCGTCGGCATCGATGCCACCGCCAGTGGCAGACTTTTGTTGCTGGCTGCCGCGTCCATTGGTGGCCTTCTGGGCCTTCTTGACGGCAGGGTACGAGAGAGGTACGAGGTACTCGTAGGAAATGCGCTCTACAAGCAGGTTCAGCTCCAGGTCGTTGGCATAAATTGTGCTGAAGATGCGCGTGGGGACTCCACCGAGGGCAGCAATCACGGCCTCATCACCTGCAGCCAGCTCGCCCGTTGCTGCAGCCCACAGCTTGCCGAGCAGTGCCATGGCCTCGATGCGAACGTGTGATTTCCGGTCACGGCAGCGGTCGGCCAGGTTGGACAGCACCGACCCCTGCTTGGAGACGCCGCCGTGGGGGGCGAGCTTGGTGATGACATCGCGGAAGTTGAACGCCTCAATAGCCTTGACGGAGGCCAGGCGGACCTTTTCGTCACTGTCGGTGAGCTTGTCGCCAAGGCCAAGGACAAGGACGGTCTCCTCCTCACGGCTGAGGCCGATACCGCCCGCAGACGTGGACAGAATGTAGCCAGCAGCAGTCACCCAGGCAGTGCGGATCAGGGCAGACTTGTCGTTCTTCCGGTTGATGAAGCTCTGGTACACGTGGGGGTGTGTCTGGGCAAAGGAATGGGGCGAGGTCGGCGTCGTCAGAACGCTGTCGGTGGCCTGCGTAGCAAGCTCGTCGGTCAATCTGAGGGGCGGGTACGCTGCAGGGTCCAGAGCCGGTAGTGGCGGTGGACCAGCAGCACCAATACCTGCAATCATGTCTCCGAGCGTCTCCGACGCCAGCTTCCGGAGGTAGACGTTGTCTGCCGAAAGCTCGGCCTCGAGCTGGGGCACGACATTGCTGAGCACCTGCGGGGCGGCTCTCCAGAGCTCGCGCAGGAGCAAGTGTGCCTTTTTCATTTCCCGCAGGTCGGACTCAGACGGCCCGTTCAGGCCCTCGTCCTCCTCCTCTTCATCGTCAGAACCCTTCCCGCCCTTGTGCCCAGCCGGGCCCTTTCCGTTGCCGGCGGCGTTGCCGCCGACGCCGGAAAAGTCGATGATCACATCACTGAAGTACTGGGCAACGGAGCGGGTCATCTTGTCCGCACACGTCTGGCAGATGAGCTTGGCCATTTGGTAGGCGGGGGGTTCCTCCTTGAGAAGCAGGGTCGACTGATAGCGATCGAGCTCATCCTTGTCGGGGACACCCTTGTCGCGCAGGGCGCCCGGAGCGGCGGCACGGAGGAACTGGGCCATGATGACATCGACGACCTTGGGAGGTACGTTGGGGCCCTCCTCGATCAGGCTGATGAGCACGTCGCTGATGTCGTGCTCGACGTCGGTGGGCAGGCGACCGCCGGACACATTTTTGGGGGCCGAGATGGCGTCGAAGAGAGACGAAAACAGCTGAAGCTGCAGCGCGTCGCTGCTGTCAAGGTCGTTGAGGAGGACGATGCTGCGGACCTCAGCCAGCGAATGCAGAACATACTTATGCTGGGCATCATAGGTGTTGGAGGGATCCTGTAGAGCGGGCAAGATGGAAGTGATGAAGAGGCCGAAGACGTCCTAGAGTGACGAGTCTGTTAGTACTGGCTGCGAGAAGAACCTTGAAACCGCTGTGCAAAAAACCAAAAAAAAAAAAACCAACCTTCAGCTGGGTCTGGGTGAAAGGTGCGTTGGGGGCGCAGAGGCAGAGAATGTCAACGAGGCAGGCGGCGGCAAAGGCCTTGACGCCCTTGTCCTTGTGGTTGAGGAGATTATGGCTTGCGAGCTCTTTGGCAGTCTTGGCCAGCGACTTAGTGTCAAACGTCTCCTGGTCGAGGTCCGTCAGCTCACGACTCAGTGTCTCGAGACGCCGGATCAGCTCTTCGGTCGGAATTGGCTTTCCTGGCCGCCATGAGAGAGGCTCGTTGAAGCGAAGGCGCACCAGCGGACCCTCGGCTTGCGTCCCTGCTGCTGCCCGCGCAGTGTGTGGCCGCGCCTCGTCCTGGTCATCGTCTGCCTCCTGCGCATCGATCACGTCCTCGTCCTCATCGTCCTGCTCCTCGGCCTCAGATTCTGGGTCGGCAGCCTTCTTGCCGCGGCCACGGCTAGCTGCTTGTTGTTGTTTTCGAGGTGCGGCCGCTCTGCGCGGCAGGCTGACCTCGGCGTTTGATTCGGGGGTCGCTGTCTCTGCGACATCAGGGCTCTTAGCAGAGGCTCCGTTCCGCGCCGGAGCGCGTCGACGAGCCGGTGCCATGGCGATAAAAACTGGCGATGACGCCGCCGGGGATACAAGGGTGGCTGGTCGTCGCAGAGGCGTCAGGAGTTGGGGGTCTCGTGTATATTTATTTCGATTGAACTTGTGATCCGTGCCCTGACCTAGCCTGCCAATGATTGCGTGTGGGCACGTCTGTTCAGGCAGCCTTTGGGCCTCTGTCTCGATCGAGTCCTTTTGGCGTGGCGCAGAAAAGAGTCCAGAAGAAAATGGGAAGAAACGCGACTGAATAGACTGACGAGCTTCTTGAGTGGAAAAAAAAGGGGCCGGGCTCGCAGCGGACAGCGCCAGCAACGATCCTCGACAATGCCAATGCGAAGGGGAAATGCGCAAATGGGAGAGGAAACAGCGACGAGATCAGAGGTAGAAACTTGGCCCGTCGGATTGCAGAATAAAAAAAGACGGGAATGGGAAATTCACACGCAATGGCGAGGATTAAAGTGGAAGGGAGAGGAGAGAGGGGGAAGTGGACGGATGCATTACGCGACGAAATAAAGGTGCCCTACTATTTCGCGCGACAGGGCAGGAGGGCAGGTACGGCGAAATACACGGCAACTTGGCGGCAGGAGCTGGTCTTGCTTTGGCGGTTGGGAGGGAAGGTGAACTGGAGAGACACAGCCGACGCCCACCAACTGCAAGACCCTAGCGTGGGCCTGGCCGTTCTTTCCGTCGCGTGCTGTTGTGTAATTTAGCTGGGCGTGACCGCACTAGCAGACGCGTTAGGTGCAGCGGTCCATCATTGTTAATGGCTGCCCGTTCTGATTGGTTGTACTGGTACTTCCAGAGCTTTGCGACACCACCAGTATACACCGAAAGTCAGCCAATCTACGCGCCGGTTAAAGTACCGTGACTTTGCGCGCGAAGCTCCGCGATCCACACTTATCAACGTCGTTTCTTTCGATCCCATGTCTTTTTGTTTCTTGACGAAGGGCGACGATGCAATACGCTGCACGTTGAGTCGGTATCGGATCTTAGACGCACCAGTTGTGCGACAGAACGTTAAACGTGCAAATACACCAGTCAGCTTATGCTGGCTCTGCCTCTCCCACCCGCAGGTGTCGCAAAGCTTTGCAGCACCGGCCACGAGCGTGGTGACTAAGCTGTTGATCTGAGAAGGTCCACCAGTATACGATGTAGCAGGGGGAAGAGGGCATGGGTAAGTGGGATGGGGTATAGGTAGGACCTTCGCGATGCTCTGGGACCATGCTTGTCTGGCAGCTAATCATGGAAAATAAACGTGTCACCGACGTCATGCCAGGACGAATGAGAGACGCCAAGTTGGAGGTTTCTAAGGAAGAATCGGTGGAATAACCTGTCGGATTGCATATTGCGACGTTGGACTGCCTGCCAGCCATAAGATTTAAGAGGGAAAGTGGCACGCAGTGAAAGGAGTCCGCGAATCTTGGTATGGCATCGGGCTGCATCAGGACCGCCTTGTTCGTGCAGGTCGAGAGTTGGGATCGTTGCACGGCCATGGCTTCAACCGGCATGGTTGTATACTGGAGATGACCGTCTGATGTAGTGTCGATTGGAGGCGTCATGGCGGCGAAATGGCGTGTTATATGGTAACGAGGCAAGAGGGAGGCGTCCCCGGTCGTTCCTTCCGTGCTTGGCGATTCACGACGACAACATTAACGCTTGCCGGGTTCCGTTACCGCCGTCGTTTAGTCGTTTACCGTATCGAGAGACACGGGTCGGCCTGGAAACGTAATTCTGCCCTTCCGTCTATGATACTGGCCGGGTGGTGCTTTCTCTGATCTCCTCCTCCTTCCTTTTCTCGTAATCTCTTGTCACTTCGGCTCTTCATCACTTTTCGCATCACATCTCAAAGCAAATTATTTGCCGCGCACTCCTTTGACCCAACCTTATCATCACATGTATGCTCTTTTCCAGTGACCGTTTGCAACCGACACTCGTTTCACCTTCTCCATCTTCGAATATCCCGCCAATCTACCGCCATCTGTCTCCTAAGGTACGTCGGTCACGCCTTCCCAAGCAACTTCATTCTGCCACCTCGCCCCGGATGCTCTTTCCTGGCAAGCCTCCTTTTGCACATATTCGTCCTCGTGCGTCCTTCCGTGTCTGGTTGGGCACACATCGTTGCTTCCTTTCTTGTGTCGCCTTCGGCTAGACACGCCAGAGAGCTGTTGCATACATGTTTCTGCGTCACCTTCACCATCCCTTGAAATTTCGGTCTTGTGTCTTTGACGCTCAATCTCTCCGGACTAACAAGACGAACTGCCCATTCGCTTTTGCCCAACGTGCCATTTTTCATGTTGTTTTCAGTTTTGTCTTGGTGTGCTGTGTTGTGTTTGTTCCTTCCTGTTTCGATTGTCGTGCGTGGGTTGCTCCTTCCTTTCCTGCCTCAAACGACCAAACATATTTTTTGGCCCTTTTCTTCTCGCCCCTCCCACCAACTTATTTCGTCTTCTCACTTCTCTTTCCTTCTCTTCGCTCTCCTCTTTTCGTCGTTCCTTTACTTTTTCGCCTTCATTCATCCGTCCATCTTTCACTCGCTCCTTGTTGCTTCCTATTTTTTTAAGCTTCATCCAAAGCCTAATCAACGGCACCACGCTCTTTTATCTACCCTTCTCACAAGGCTGACCACCTCAAAGATCTCTCTCTTTACACATCCAAACAAATAAAATGGATCACTTCAACTCCACCAAGACTTCCTTTCCGGCTGTTTATGCCACCGATGGCTTCTCTCCGGCCCAGCCGTCTAAGGCTCGCCGCATCGGCAAGCTCATTGCGAAGGCTGTTCTGGCCATCGTCTTCCTGGCTTTTGCTCTTGTTTTGATTTACCAGGTCGTCCATGGTAAGTGGTTGCTGGTCTCCCACAGAATTTTGATTGTTTGTCCGTGTACTTGCTAACCTCTACATCTACAGACAAGCAAGACTATGATGCTCTCCTCTCAAAGTACAACAACTTGCTTGCCGAGCAGGACACCAAGCCCGTGGCCCCTGTTGCTACTCTCGTTCACCGGGCCATGGAGTCTCCCTCCCAGTCGTATGTGTACACGACCACCACGGTCACTGAGGGTACGACCGTTACCATTGAGACCACTGCCTCGTCGTCTAGCCTCCCTGCTAGCTCGTCTGTCTCCTCCCAGCAGTGTAGTGCCGGTCTCCCTGGGACCGTCACGGTTACTGTCACCGGTGGTGGCTCGTCCTCTGTTCTCCCTTCCTCTTCCCCAGCCCCCATCACTGTGCTTGAGACGCACGTTACGACTGCCACGATCTATGTGACAGCCAGCGGTCTCGTCACCCCCAAGGCGGAGACGCTCACGGTGACGGCTACCGCAACGGAGTTTGCTACTGTCCACGGTGGTAACAACAAGACCTCGAGCGGTACGTCCACCAGCACTGCTGAGGGTGTTTGGGGCACGAGTGCATCTACCAGCTCGTTCCACCTTACTCACTTCCCCAACACCACCACCATCCTCTCCCCTTACAATACCGCAAGCACTGCCAGCTACACCCTCACTGTCCCTCCCGGCGTCAGTGGTGGCACTGGCAACACTGGCAAGCTGACCACACCTCTGGGCACCACCACTAGCCAGGTCGACCCAGTGAGCACGGTTGTCACCGTCTCCGGCGCCGCCAAGGCTAGCGGTGTCTGGGTTGGCATGGCCATTGCGGCCATCTTTGTTGCGGCCTTCCACTTTTAAGGAAATGCCGCAATTGCACGAGAGCACACTGGAAAACAATCGTGGCTCATCGGGGACGAGAAAAACTACCACTAATTGGTCTGATGGGTAAGAGACTCTTAATAATGGAGAGGCTGCGAAAGGGTGAAGACGGTTGAGAAAGGTGTCTCATATCAGCACTGGCGACTAAGCATGTTTTGCAACCCGAGAAGGAAAGTTAAGGGAGCTTTGTAGCAGATCCCTGCCATGTCCCTCTTTTCCTTCCGGCTACCTTTTCTTCTTTATATTTTTGCAATTGTCGCCACGGACGAGTGGATGGATATCATATCATAGTCTTTTCTTTGGTCAGTCAAAGAACGGCAATCTACGTGTATGCAGCTTAGGCAGCACCATGTCATGTAGAGCCAGACAATAAACCTCGTCGTTTTAAATAACGTGTTTCTGCAGAGCCATTGATTGTCAATACCTAATACACCGTCCCTCCAACCATGTGATCAAAACAGTGAATGAATGCTACAAAACATGAAAGACAAAAGCTGTCAGGCTAGAAAACTAAACAAAATCGAACGCAAAACTGTGTCCAGTGATATACCACAACGCCATCCCAAACCCAAACCCGGACACCGACTGCCAACCGTATATAGAGAAAAGACCTCTTCAGCTAGACAAGCTTTACCGTCCTGTCGACTGCCGACGTGCCCGCCACCCTTCCTTGAAGCCTTTGGCGGCCTCTTTCAGCTCCTGCTCTGATACGCTGTCCCGGATGCTCTCGAGGACACTGTTCACAACACTAATGTGGTTGGCCTCGGGCTTGTCGTCACGGAATCGGTGGATACGCCAGCGCTGCTGGTCGTCGAGCGCGCACTCGACGACGCGGTTGGAGATTGGGTCGCCCGTGGCCTTGAGCAGCTCCCACTCCTCTTCGGTGAGGTACATCGGCGCAAAGTGGCGGTACGGCTCGGCGGTGTTGTCGCCGTAGTAGGCGAACAGGTCGGCGGCCGGGAGGGCGTCGTAGTCGAACGGCAGAACGGGCCCGCCATTTGTGCTTGCGTGCCCGTCGCCGTTGCGCGTGTCGCCGTTCTTGACGGGACCGTGGGCGTCGTCGTCCACGCTGTCGGGTGCCAACGGCGGGAAGGTCAGCTGGATGCGAAAGTCGATTGTGTTTTCCTCGACGCGCTTCCACTTGAGGATGTGCGGGTCGGTGCCGGGGCGGTAGTTGGTATTGCAGCGCGTAAAGATGAGGCCGTCGTTGCCGTGCTTGAGGTTGGGCAGCACGGTGCGGAACATCATTTCGATGCCGTAGCTGTACTGCATGTCCTTCATCTGGATGGCAAACGCCTGAAACTGCTTCTCCTCGGGGTACTTGCGGAACAGGGCGTCGTACGGCTTGTAGACGGCCTCTTTGAAGTAGCCCAGGCGCTTGTCCAGGGTACGCTCCGTCATGTCCTTGTTGTCGAGCACGAGGCAGTCAAACACCAAAAAGGTCGGCTGCTTCTCGCCATGGCCCAGGTCGTCCATGACCAGCTCGCCGTCGACAAGTGTCTTGACGTGGAAGCCCGCCTCGTCCTCGGCGCGGGGCAGGTGCAGCGAGCCGGGCGGCAGGAACCAGTAATCGTTCTTGCGGTCGATGAGGTATTGAATTTCAGCGCCCTCTTCGTCTTCGGTCAGGTAGAGCAGGTAGCGGATGCCGTCGGTCTTTTCGCAGACGTAGTAGCTGGACGGTGCGGTGCGGTGTTAGCAACAAATTCGCTTGGTGTACACCCGAGACCGCTGACAACCTACTCTTGTTTCCGCAGCTCTTCCATGTGCTTGCGCGTAAAGCTGACGGGTTGTGCACCTGGGAAGCCGAGCTGCTGGCGGCGCAACTGGTTTGCGACTTCACGGCGCATGCTGTGCAGCACAGCACCCTCGGCGCGGATGCCAGGCGCGTCGAGGCGGTCGAGTTTGCCAGACATTGTGAGAGGAAACAATGCTCGTGTGGGTGTTCGACGGTAAGTATAATCCGCTGGAAGTGCAGGAGAGATGCAGACGAGCCCTATTCCATTCGAAGCTTGCGTGCAGCGGGCATTGTGGGCAAGGCTGGGGACACGCAGGTGTGGTGCATATGAAATTTTGGCTGCCTTTGCCGTCAGACACATTGCTGGTGCTTCCTGCAGCTAGCTCGCTTTGCAGCCGCATGCAGCCTCGCTGGTATATTGGATTAGTCATTTTGGCGCGCCTCTAGAGGGGAGAGGTGAGGATACAGCGCTCCAGAGTGCCATGGCTAGTGCGCTAGTGTGTGTTGGAATCCTGGCTTTGGGGCTGAACTAGATCCTGGAGGGCAATTTCGCATAAGTCGCGACGGACTGTCCCACAGGGCTTTCAGCGCCGGCTAGGGTCGTTCGCTACTTCTGTTTCTGCAGGTAGTTTGGTGCGGTGCCAGAGACAAAAGGGAAACTGCACGACGTCAAATCAGGGTTGGGGTCGTACTTTCCTTCTTCGTCTTTTCTCGATGCCTAGCCAATAGCGGCGTCGACGCAACACGTTGTTCTTTCTTCTGCATCAACCAACGCCCTCGACAGCCTTCTCTTTCAACGTCGTTTTGCGAAGCCTCCAGCGAAGACGACCCCCTTTGGTAGCCGCGACGAACCCATTTCCTCTCCCGCGTCGCCTATTTGCCTGTTCATGGTCGCTCGCGCGCGACTCGGCCGCTGCTCCAAGAGCCTTCGCTACAGCTGCCGCTGATTTCCGCTGTGCAGCGAAATTGAAACCCCCCTGCCAAGCACAACTCACGATCGCTCGACCACCGTCCAATTTTCATTACCTCATACGCTTCGACGGACACACCTTGGCGGCGTATTCCACGTGCTGCCACCATGCCGAACGGTGAGATGTGGTCCATGGTGACCGGCACCGTGGTGGAGCTGGCCCGTACGTTATCCGAAGCTGTTGTTTCACGAGAACCTATTCTGCCAAGAACCACGATGGAAATGCTGACACTGGCCCTCCAACAACAGGAAGAGCGAGCGAGGACATAGACTCTGAAGGTACGCAATTGCTGAGTAGCGGTCAGGACGTTGTTGGTGGCTGGATGGAGGCCGTGGGCGACCACAACGGACGACGAGACGTTGAGATGTGAAAGGCATCCGCAATCCATTCTCGACCGACACAAGGGCAAAACTGACACGTCGGCAGGCGGCGACTCGTCCGAGAAGGAAATCAACGCATCATGGGCCATCTTCATCCAGATCATGCTGCTGATCGTGGCCTTCTTCACAAGCTACATCCTGCAGCAGCAAAAGGTTACGGCCGTCCACGAAACGGTCATCTCCATCTTCGCAGGTGAGCCTCCCATACTTTCGTCAACCTCACCACTGAGCTCAGCCTAACCCCTAACCCCTACCCCCTTGCCTAGGTATGACGGTTGGCCTTATCCTCCGCGTAACGGCCGGCGACAGTATCCGTGAAATCGTCAGTTTCGACTATCAGGTCTTCTTTAATTTGCTGCTACCACCGATTATCCTCTCCTCCGGCTACGAGTTGCATCAAGGGAATTTCTTCCGAAATATAGGCACCATCCTCACGTTTGCGTTCGCCGGCACCTTCTTGTCGGCCATTGTCATTGGCGTCATTCTGTGGCTGTACACGCGCATCCCGCTCGAGGGCCTCACCATGAATTGGATCGACGCCATTTCTGTTGGCGCCACCCTCTCGGCCACCGACCCCGTGACGATCCTGGCCATTTTCAACTCGTACAAGGTCGACCCGAAGCTGTACACAATCATCTTTGGCGAGTCGATCCTGAACGACGCCATTGCCATTGTCATTTTCGAGTCGGCGCAAAAGTCCAAGAACGGCTCGGCCACATCGTCGAGCATTGTCAGCCTGCTGAAAGGTATCGGCATTTTCTTGAAGGACTTCTTCGGCAGCATGTTGATCGGTGCCCTGGTCGGCATCATTGCAGCGCTCTGCCTCAAGTACACCTACGTGCGCCGCTACCCCAAGATTGAGAGCTGTCTGATTGTGCTCATTGCCTACGCCACCTATTTCTTTTCTCAGGCTGTGGAGATGTCTGGTATGTCTCGTGGACTTTCCTTCATATCGGTTTGAACCGCCACGCCTGTGCTCGCTGCTAACCCCGCTAGGTATCGTGTCTCTGCTGTTCTGCGGAATAACTCTCAAGCACTACGCCTACTTCAACATGTCCCGTCGCACGCAGCTCACCACCAAATACATCTTCCAGGTGCTTGCGCAGCTCTCCGAAAACTTCATCTTCATCTACCTTGGGCTCTCGCTCTTCACCGAAAAGGACCTGCAGTATCAGCCGCTGCTCATCATCGTCACTGTTATCGCCGTGTGTGCGGCGCGTTGGGTCGCCGTGTTCCCGCTGTCCAAGGCGATCAACTGGTTCATTCACTACCGCGAGCGCCGCCGCGGCATTGTCAACTCAGCCGACGAGCTGCCGTACAACTACCAGGCGATGCTCTTCTGGGCCGGCCTGCGTGGTGCAGTCGGCGTCGCTCTTGCGGCGCTGCTGACCGGCAAGGATACGTACGCGCTCAAGGCTACCGTGCTTGTTGTGGTGGTGTTGACCGTCATCATCTTTGGCGGCACCACGGCACGCATGCTCGAGATCCTCGGCATCCGGACCGGCGTGGTCGACGAGATCGACTCGGACGACGAGTTTGACATTGAGCCCGTCGGGAACTATGCGAAGCGCAATGGCGGCTTCGGCTACAACCCACCGCGCGTTCCGGGCACGTATGCCGGCTCGCCCCTGCCTCTCAACCGGCTGGGCAGCAGTAGCGGCGGCGGCAGCAGTGGTGGTGGCGCCGGGGCCAACGGCACAAAACGCGGATACTATCCCAGCGGCAGCGCAGATGATGGTGCTGACCACCGCAGCTGGACAACGGGCATGCGGTCGCCCAACCCAATGGGCGGCGGCTCGAGCCTTAGCCGTAAGAGCTCTACGCACGATCTGGCGTCTGGCGAGCGGTCCGACCTGCTGGGCTACTCGGCCAGCGCTACCGACTCCGAAGTCG